TCCGATTAATTTCTTTCTATTTTTAGTAGAGATGGGGTCTCGCTCTTGCTCAGGCTGGTCTCGAACTCCTGAGCTCAAACGATCCGCCCGCCTTGGCCTCCCAAGAGAGCTAGGATTACAGACGTGAGCCATCGCGCCCGGCCTAGACCCTCTTTTAACTTGGTGGCTCTACCTGGGTCCTTTTGGATTTCCATCAGTTCCATGTCCTTACTAAGCCCAAGGATCCTGCCAGTCCCACCCCTCCCTTACCTGAGGGCAACCTGCTGTGCACAGAGGGTCATTAGCACTGGTGTAACTCCCCTTTTTTTCCTCTTTCCCTGACTCCCACATCTGGGGTTTCTCTGAGCCCACAGCGCAACCCAGACTGAGGCTGCAGTAGCAGTCCTTTCTTCCTTATGATGTCCCTTTCAAGTCTCTGTGCTGTGGCACAGAGCCCAGATCTGGTATACCAGGAACAATATCAGGCTCCAGGAGTGGAGTCTGCAAGACTAAGTGTGTAGTCAGCACCCTGACTCACCATGCCCTCCCCTCTCTGGCAGTGACCCGCCATAATCACCTCAAGGACTTCATGCTGGTGGTGTCTATCGTTATTGGTGTGGGCGGCTGCTGGTTTGCCTATATCCAGAACCGTTATTCTAAGGAGCACATGAAGAAGATGATGAAGGACTTGGAGGGGTTACACCGAGCTGAGCAGAGTTTGCATGACCTTCAGGAAAGGTAAGGCCCCACCTGCTCTTGGGAGCCTCCTGTTTCCACCTGGGTATGGACCGCCTGGCCCCTAAGACCATGCTGACATAGCTGCCCAGGATGTGTCATCCTTCCAAAACTGCTTTGGGAGCCTAGGTTCCTGCTATTCCGATCGTCCCGAATGGTTATTCCTCCTGTGGAGAAGCTTGTTTCTATCTTTACTCCCTCTGAACTTCAGAGGGAGAAATGTACCATGGATCTTGAACTTCCCATGACTTGTTAGGGGTCATTTTACCCTACAGCCTGCCTCTGAACTGCTTCTCTTAGCATATAAATTAATATATACTGTTCTCCAAAGAAACCTCATAAGCATTTCTTCTTACAGCCCATAGTTCTTTCTTGTATGGAGTTTAAATTTTGTAAGTACTGAATTATTGTATGACTTTGGGTAAATCCCTTTTCCTTCCAGTGAATTACCAATGTTTCCTCATTGGTAATATGAAGGGGCTGAACTAGGAGAACACTCAGCTCTGAACACTTATAACTCTGATAGTCTGGGATTCTGTTGACATAAAACATGACTTAAAAACTATGGCAGAAGATTTATCTGTGAAAATAGAGTGCCAGTCAGTCAGTCAGTCAGTCGATCTCTGTACTCCTGACATCTAGGAACCAGGTCTGTACTGGCAATTGTGATGAATTCACTGCTCCTGGGGCAACAAAACTCACACATAGGAAGGAGCAGTGAGCACATACTTAATGCAGACTCTGCGCCAGCTTATGGGATAAGAACTCTAAGGACTACAAGGGCAAAGAGGCAGGAGATGAGTAGATGTGGAACTCTGAGGAGGAGGCCTTGAAAGATAGGTAGGGAGGTCTGGGGCATTAAGGTTGAGTGTATAGGGTGGGGCCAGATCCCTGGGACCTAAGATGCAAGTGGAGAAGTTTAGTAGGATGTGGAAGGCAATAGAGTCAAAGTAGGTTTTTTGGTTGTTTTGTTTTGTTTTGTTTTTGAGAAAGGAGCAGGCCTATTTAAGACTGTCTTTTAGAAAATGATTCTGGTAACCTGGGGACTCTAGTTGGGAAGTTTTTGCAGGAATCCATGTAAAGAGAAATGAAGACTGGTCTCTTCTGTTATTTTTTTAATGCTAGGTACTATTTTCTTTGGAGGAGTGGGGAAAGGATTTCTTATGAGCCAGGTTTTGTTAAGTACTTAAATGCGTTATTGCTTTTAATCACCACAACCCTTTGAGGTAGGTACTATTGTTATGCCTATATTATCCCAATTTTAGAGTTAAGGAAATGAAGGCTCAGAGAGGGTAAGTGCTTTGCTGAGGGTCACATATCATCAGTAAGTAGTGAGCTGGGAATTTTGATACTTCCAGGGTGCTGCCTTTACTGAGACAGCAGCCTTATCAGATTCCTTTCCATGGGCTGGGCTTCTAGGGGGAAAGTTGAATCTGGTCTGTAAGCTGAATTCTGGCTACACTACTGGGCCCCTTGTTCTTGGGCCCTTTGCCAATTAGTGGCTAAATGCTGCTGTCCCAGCAGTCCCCATACTTCATTTGTCTGAAAAACATGTACTGTTTCCATTCAAAAGGCAAAAGAATCTAGGCAGGAGACATTCCAAGTTTGGGGATAAAACTAAGCTCCTAGCCCTCCCTTTCCCCAGGGCCTCGAAAGCTAAATGACCACTGCAGGGAGACAAAGACTAGCCCCCAACCCCAAACAGGCTTGCACACATGCATACACATATTCACCTCTGACAGTGTACAGAGCCCACATGCCACCTGTCCCTCACTTTTAACAGGACTGCACTGTCAACCACCATAGGGCTTTATTTATAGAGTTTCTGATATTTTGTGTGAATAAATATAATGCTACGTGTTTATACATTCCAGTTAGGATTTCACTGGGTTTCAGGATAATTCTTTGAAGCAGGCAGGAATTTTGATTCCCATTTTACTGTGAAGAAACAGGCTGAACTCTTGTTCATAGTCACACAACTACTTAGAGCCAAGACTTACAACCAGGCTTCCTAATTGTAATGCTAATTGTTGTTGCCTTGGAGTGGGGCAGTGCTTGATTGTATATTTATTTGCTCATTTTCTGCACCCAATAGTTATTGATTTCCATCCCTACTAGACCTTATTGGAACCATAACAGTGAGTCAGGCTTGGTTCTGCTTTAAAAGAGCCCACTATTATAGGGAGAGGACAGACATATCATAGTGTTGGCTTTTCTGAAGAGGATGCGTTCAGAGAGGACAATATTTCAGTGAAGAATTGAATCCCTAATGGTGTGATTTCATGCAGTTGGGCCATGGATGAGTACAGTAAAGGAAGATACTCTACAACCAAAGGAGGTGGGGGCAGGAAATGGTGCCTCTGATTTGTTTTTAGCTATGCCTGCAGCACCATCTGGTGTTCACCTTAAGGAGGTTCAACTCCCTTTTTCTCCAGGGGCAAAGCAGGCAGAAGCCTGCAATTTGACTGCAGAAAGCATGCAGCCTAACATTTCTTCTCTTACTGCCTTGCTTGTCCCACCATATCTTTTGAGGCCTCACCCACTGAGAACTCTGAAATTGGAGTTTTTTAGAGGTTGATTTTTGTTTCTGCCCTTTCTGTTTCATCTACTTAATTAACTCAGTGGTAAGTGGTCTTCTCTTTTGGTCCTTCTTGTCCTGTAGTTTATCCTTTCTTTTTTTTGTTTTTTTCTTGAATGCATCTTTCAGATATCCTTTCTTTTCTACACATCATATCTAAGCCATATATCTCGCCTCTTCATCATCATCCTTTTCCCCTCCTATCCTGGTCTCCTGGTAACTTGGTGATTTCTGCTAAGGCAGGAAGACCTAACAATAATAGCTAAGTGCTTTCCGTCTTTCAAAGGGATTAGCAAACTCTTAACTCTTTCTTCTGGGTCTAGCCTAAACCTCTTCTTCCCTGACTCCTTTTAGACAGAGTTAATTATTTCATCCTTTGGGCTCACCCAAAATCTTATATATCTCTTTATTATAGAACTCATTACACTGTATACAGTTACCTGTTTATTTGTCTTAGACTAGATTATGAGTTGGCTCCTCAGTGGCAGGGACAGCTTTCTGATTTATCTTTATATATTTAGCGCTTAGCACAGGGCTTGGCATTTAGTAGGCATTTGATAGAACTTGGTGAATGAATGGTTGAATAAATGAATGAATGAATGGATTAACATAAATATATGGAGGAAAGAAGGGAGGAGGGAAGGAGGCTTGTTTAGATGGTTGGAAGGATTTGTCAGTGAACAGAGGGAATGTGTGAGAGTAGATTTTCATTATAACTGATGCCCTTGAGATCCTTTCCACTAGGGAAGATACTTAGGAAAGGAACTTGGCTTGGGGACAGCAGGGGACTCTCCTGAGCCTTGCCCAGCCCCTTTGGCATGAATTTCATTTTTCTGTGCTTCTAAGAATAGGTACTTGGGAGTTTAGGAGATCCAGCTCAATAGTTCCTTTCTCATCTTCTTTCAGCCTCCTCCTACCTCCACCCCAGTCACATCTCAGACATTAAGTTTTCCTGGATCTTTGCCTAGCTTGCAGGGTATTCTAAATTTATTGTAATAAAAGGGGAATAATTATAGGGTTTGAAGTCACACAGATTGGAATTCTAGTTTCAGTTCTTTCTGCAAGTTACTTCCCCTCTCTAAGCCTTCATATCCGCATGTCCCAGGCTAATAATGAAACTAATATATCATTATGTGCTAGGAGGACACATGTGAAATACCTTGTAAACTAGTAATTGTTATGATTTTAGTATATGAGATACTTTAGAAGAGGGATTTAGATGCCTGAGAACCTGGCCTCACAGCTTGATTACTGGCAGCAAAATGATGGCCAATGTAAGAATTAGGTAATGACTGTGGTTTCTATTGGTCCTGAGCTAGCTCAGAGCCAGACAGTGAGCAGATTACAGAGAATATATGCTGAGAGCTGGAGCTCTCATTTTCATCTTTAATGCCATGATTCATGGCATGTTGGCTGGCACCCCCTTGCCCGGCCTCCTCCAGCTCCCTGCATCGCCCCCCAGGCTGCACAAGGCCCAGGAGGAGCACCGCACGGTGGAGGTGGAGAAGGTCCATCTGGAGAAGAAGCTGCGCGATGAGATCAAACTTGCCAAGCAGGAAGCCCAGCGGCTGAGGGAGCTGCGGGAGGGTACTGAGAATGAGCGGAGCCGCCAAAAATATGCTGAGGAAGAGTTGGAGCAGGTAGGAGAGTCTACAAATTCCTGGTCACCTCAAGGGGTGGGTAAAGGGCAGGGGCCCAGGGTCTGGCTGGAAAGTTTCATATGTGAGGACTTTGAAATATGGCTCAGAGACTATCTTCCAGAGTCACTTGACTCTTTCTAACAAGAGTAGTGGAAAAGTTGCAAAAAATGGTCACTGTGATTTTAAAGTACAGTGGATAACAGATGGTAAGTTATTTCGTTCCTTTTTTATTGAGGTATTTACATAAAGTGTATAAATCCCAAGTATACAGCTGGCATGCTTTTACATGTGCATGTACCTATGTAACCACCACCCAGATCATGGTACAGAACTTTTTCAGTACCCCAGAAAGCTCAGTGTTGCTCCCTACACCCCTGTGAGTATTTCATCTAAAAATTAACTACTGTCACAACCTCTAAACCAGATTAGTTTTGCCTGATTTTGAACTTCATATAAATGGAATTAAATAGTATATACTCTTCTGTGTTTTGTTTCTTTTTACTCAACATTATGTCTGTGAGAGTTCATCCGTGTCGTATGCAGTGATAGTTGGTTTATTTCCATTGCTGAATAATAATCCATTGTATGAGTGTACTATAATTTCTTTATCCTTTCTTCTCTTGATAGACATTTGGGTTGTTTGCAGTTTTTTTGGCTTTTATGAATAACACTGCTATAACCTTACATATGTCTTTTGGTGGGAATGAGTACTCATTTCTGTCTTATTTACAATAAGCATTTATATATTTAGTTTTACTAGAAACTGCCAGTTTTCCAAAGTGTTTATACCAATCTGTAGTGCCACTAGCAATGTATGAGAATTCTAGTTCATATATGACCTTGGTGTTTTTAGGCATTTTAATTTTGGACATTCTGGTAGGTATGTAGTGGTATCTCATGATTTTACTTTTCATTTCCCCAATATTATTGAATAACTTTTCATAAATTTATTGGCCATTTGATGGGGAATCCTTTCTCATTTTAAAAATTGGATTGTATGTTTTTTTCTTGTTGATCTGTAAGAGTTCTTTATATGTTCTCTGTATGTGAGTCTTTTGTCAATATATATTCATATATATTGTAAATATTTTCTCTCAGCCTGTGGCCTGCTTTTTTACTCTCTTAATATTGTCTTTTGATAAACAGAAGTTCTTGATTTTAATGAAGATTTAATGGTTTAGTCATTTTAAAAATATGGTTGGTGCTTTTTGTTTCCTGTTTAATATCCCCACCCCCAAGATATTTTCCTAAATTTTCTTTTAGAACCTTTATTGCTTGACTTTTTGCATTTAGGGATATAGTTTACTTAAAATTAATTTTTTTTATGTGATATGAGGTATGTGGTCAAGGATCTTATTTTCCCATGTAAGGTGATCACTCAAGAATCTTTACTCTCTGTTCTATTTGTCTATCCTTGCACAGCATTGTTTTATCATAAGTCTCATTATCTGGTAGTGTCGTCAAGTTCTCCAGCTTTTTTCTTCTGCGAGATGGCCTTGACTATTTGAGAATCTTTGCATTTCCACATTAACTTGTCAATCAGAGACTCCTTCCTTCTAAAAAAACCCTGGAATTTTTCTTCTGTTTGCATTGAATCTATAGATCAATGTGGGAAACATTGACATTTTAACCAATTCTTTTTTTTTTTTTTTTATTATTCCAGGGTTTTGTGAGGGTACAAACATTATAGTTACACTTTATGTCTTTACCTCACCCAAATGCGGGTTAACCAACTAATTCTTTTAATCCACGAGCATAGTTTATCCTATCACCTATTTAGATTGTTTAAAATTTCAGCAATGTTTTGTAGTTTTTAGTGTAGAAGATTTGCACTTTTTTTTTTCTTTTTTTTTTTGTTTTTGGAGACAGAGTCTCACTCTGTCGCCCCGGCTAAAGTGCAGTAGTGTCATCGTAGCTCACTGCAACCTCAAACTCCTGGGCTCAAGGGATCTTCCTCCCTCAGCCTCCTCAGTAGCTGGGACTACAGGTGCACACCACCACACCTGGTAAATTTTTCTATTTTTTCTAGAGGCAGGGTCTTGCTCTTACTCAGGCTGGTCTCGAACTCCTGACCTCAAGCGATCCTCCCGCCTCGGCCTTCCAAAGTGCTAGGATTACAGGTGTGAGCCACTGCGCCCAGCCATTATTTTTCTAGCTTTTTTTTTTCTCTTTTTTTCCTACGTATTTTTATTTGTATATATTCATGGGGTACAATTGCAATTTTGCTACATTGATAGGTTGCATTGTGGTGAAGTCACAGTCATTTTTCTAGCTTTTTGAGGCAGAAGATTAGATCATTGACTTTAAATCTTTAATCTTCTCCAATATCTGCATTTAGAGTAATAAATTTCTATCTTAGCCCTGCTTTATCTATATTTAATAAGTTTAAACATTTCATATTTTCATTGTCATTCAGTTCAAAAGATTTTCTAATTTCTGTTGTGTTTTCTTTTTTGCCCGTGGTTATCTAGAATTATGTTGCTTGTATTTTCAAACACTTGAGTACTTTTCTAGTTATCTTTCTCTTGTTCATTTCTAGTTTAATTTCACTATGGTCAGAGAACATATGCTATATGGTTTCAGTCTTTTGAAACTTATTGAAAATTGGTTTGTGTAAAAAGACTAAACAATTCAGTTAAAAGGCAAAGTTTGTCAGACTGGATAAAAACAAAACCCAATTTATATACCCCGTTTAAAAGACACACATTTTAAATATAAGGACACAAAACAGGTTAAAAGTAAAAGGATGAGAAAAGATGTATAATATATACACTAAGCAAAATAAAGCAGATTAGCTATATATTAATATCAGACAAAGTAAACTTTAGGTCAAGAAGTATTACTAGACCCCCAAATGGATATTTAATAATGATAAATGGGTGAATTCAGTGGTAATCTATAATAACTCTTAATTTGGATATACCTAATTATATAGTTAAAAAATATATAAAGCAAAAGTTGAATATACTAAAAGGATAATAGACAAATTGGTAATCAAAGTTAGAGATTTTAATACACATTTCTCAATCAGCCAAAAACATCAGTAAGGATGTAAAAAATTTAAAAACATTATTAATAAATTTGACCTCATCGACATATATAGAGCATTTACTAAAAACCGCAGAATACATTCTTTTTAGCTTTTACATATCTCAATTTTAGAACACCCATTTTACTCTTTTATAGATTCTGGTCCCCTATCCAAAATTTCCATCTTTTTATCTGTTCCGTTTATCTTCTCTTATATTTTCTGTAACATATCAATCATAATTATTTTAAAGTCCCTATGTGGTAACACTTACATCTAGACCATTTATGGGACTGCTTATTTTTTTCCTCTTGATTATTGGTTACATTTTCCTGCCTATTATATGTACTAATTTATTTAATGTTGGACACTGTGTATAGAATAATAGAGATTCCAGATAATTTTATCTTCCATCAGATATGGGGTTCCTCCTTTCTTGTGTGAGGTATGTAGGGTGGGGTACCAATAACCTCAAGCCAATCAGATTGAGCTGCATGAGAACTGGGTTGTAGTTTTAGTAAGACTTGGTCTAGCCAGTCTAAAAAAAATTTGGGACCTCAAAAGAACACTTCTTTTTTTTTTTCTTTTTTTTTTATTAAGAGGGCTTCGTCCTGTTGCCTACGCTGAGTGTAGTGGTGTGATCATAGCTCCCTGTAACCTTGACCTCATGGGTTCAAGGGTCCTTCTGCCTAAACCTCATGAGTAGCTGGAACTACAAGTGTGTCCCACCTTGCCTGGCATTTTTTAAAAAATTTTTTGTAGAGATGGGGTCTCACTATGTTGTCCAGGTTGGTCTTTGAACTCTTGGCCTTAAGTGATCCTCCCTCCTCAGCCTCCTAAACTGCTGGGATCACAGGCATGAGCCACTGCGTCTGGCCTCAAAGAACATTTTTATGGGGGCAATATTATTGGTATTTATCCTATTTGAAAAAATTGAGAAAATTTAAAAATATTTTAAATTGAGAAAATTTAAAAATATTAAGTCATTTAAAATAACTATATCAAATGCCGTATATGTTAATACAAACAACATATTTTATGAAAAGCGACTAAATTTTCCAAAATAAAACAATTTAATGAAAAGAATGACTTTTTACAATTTTGCAAATCTTTTAAATGTCTGTCTTAATAGATTGCTAGCTTCTTATATTAGTGTCTATTTCAATATGTTGTGATTTCACACATCATGTAGCCTCTGGAGAACTCCACAGTTCAGTTGTAAGAGGAAAGAAGTAAAAAAGGTAAAATAGTGTTTTAGTATTATTATGAAAATAGTCTTGATCTCATGGATTCTCTGAAAGGTCTTGGGGGTCCTTGGATCACACTTAGAGAACTGTAGACCTAGTCCTGATTGCTTCTACAGCTCTCTGATATCTTTGAAAACATAATTTTCATACTTTATGCAGCTTTTTCCAGATACTGTGTTGGATCAGAATTGTTCTTCTGCCCTGACCTACTGCATCCTACCTGAGTAGAAGTCAGGTGATTACACTTTAAAACATATAGGTCATTGTTTATTATCTTTGACTGCATATTAGAATGCCTTGGAGAGCTTTTAGAAACTTTTTTTTGAGACAGGGTCTTGCTCTGCTGCCCAGGCTAGAGTGCAAGTAGCATCATCATTGCTCTCTGCAACCTCAAACTTCTGGGCTCAAGCGATCCTCCTGCCTCAGCCTCCTGAGTAGCTGGCACTACAGGTATGTGCCACCACACCCAGTGAATTTTTCTATTTTTTGTAGAGGGTCTCACTCTTGCTTAGGCTAGTCTTGAACTCCTGGCCTCAAGCAATCCTCCTGCCGCAGCCTCCCAAAGTGCTAGGATTACAGACATGAGCCATGCGCCTGACCTAAAAAAAATTTTTTATTTTGTGCAGCTGGGGTCTGGCTATGTTGCCCAGGCTGGTCTTGAACCTGGCCTAAAGTGATCCTCCTGACTTGGCCTGTCAGAGTGCTAGGATTACAGGTATGAGCCACCATGCTCAGCCTTTAAAAACTTTTAATGCCCAGGCCAACACCTCAAATCATTGAAGTCAGAATTTCTGGGTTAGAGTCCAATATCAGTATTTTAAAAAAAATTTTTTTTGCACTTTCATGGGATTCTTGCCATAGATATCAGTATTTTTAAAGTTCCTCATATGATTACAATATGTCACAAGGTTGAGAACCACAGCGATAGAATAAAAGAATAGGACTGGTGAACTCTGACTTGCCTATCTGTTGTCTTCCTCTCCTTCCTTGTGTGTGGCAAAGGTGTGTCTGTCTCTGTCTCCCAAGATCTCCCTTATTCCCTATTTTGTAATTATTTCTCTCATTAAACAAACAGGTTTTAAGCCTGGTAGGCCAGCCCCTTTGTGTACCTCCCTGACTAGCACACTTCCCTCTATTTACTCTCTTTTTTCTCTTCTTCATCCATTCTTCCCTTCTTACTGTATTCTGTTCCTTTAACTGCTTTTAATGTAGAACTTGATTATAAGTTTTCAGACTTGGTATATGAGTCTCTAAGGTATCTGTTCTTCATTTAAAATCTATTAAACCAGGAGTGGGCCATTTTATAGTTTCTTTTTCAAGGAACGTAAACCAAGTGAAGATTGGCACTCTCAAAGTAATAAAGGTGTTCTGTCCTTAGCTAAGGCCTTCCTAATCTATCTAAGGCTGTGGAGAGGACCTCAGGCTTGCTATAGGATACTTGCCTCATTAGCTGAAGTGGGGGATAATGAGACTGTTCTCAATTCCTGTTCTCTGGGATTCTGACCAGCTGAAGGTCAGTGTCCAGGTGGAGGAGTGGAGGATCACTTATGCTGGTATCCTCGGTGGGATAGCAAGGAATCCAGTATATATAATGTCTGTATATACTCTAAGGTCTTCCACACTTTAATGCTTTGTGATTGTCTACTTCATTGTTTACTCCTTACAGAGAGGTCAGTGAGATTCTGCTTTTACATTGGTCCTTTCGTGTCTTGGCCTCTGTTGGCAGTGCCCATGTTAGATGTGGTGTACTCATTGTTTTCCTACCTTGTAGAGAGTACTTTTCAAAGCCTGCCTGCCCTACTTACAGTGAGAATCATAGACACAGGCTGGGCTAGAGAAGACTTTGGAGAGCATTCAGGGCAATGCCCTTCTGGAGCAGCAATAATTTTTCAAGTCTCTCTGATAGGAGCTCTTCACATACCTCCCATGACAGGGAAGTAACTTTCTCCTGTGATATCACCCCTTCACTGATAGTTTGGATTTGCATAGGAGAAAGTCCTTTCTCACACTGAATTAAGATCTGCTTTAGAAAGCACAGTGTCACATAGCAAGTTGAGTGACAGACCAGGAACCAGAACCAAATTTCCAAATTCCCAATTTTTTTTTCTGCCACATTGTGATGTCTTGACATCTAAGCACAGACCCAGGTGTTCAGTAAGAGAATGATTCACTAGCTGACCTGTTCCTGAAGAGATCAGGAAGATTGCTGAGACTGGCTGCATTACTAGGAGAGTCAGCTTATGTGATAGACAAGAATGCCTTAGTCTGGAGCAAAAAAAATCTTCATTTGAGTTCTGATTGACATTATTGACTGTGTGACCTTGAGTAGGTTAATTTCCTTCTCTGAGCTTGCTTCCTAGTATATAAAATACAGATAATAATCCTTACTCTTTCTCCCTTCTGGGAGAGTTGTAAAGCAGATAAGAACTCTGAATTCTGCAACGACATACATAAGTGTTGGAGAGGGTCTCAGTATCTGTAAATGTACTCACATCCTCTTGGCTGCACAGGTTCGGGAGGCCTTGAGGAAAGCAGAAAAGGAGCTGGAATCACACAGCTCATGGTATGCTCCAGAGGCCCTTCAGAAGTGGCTGCAGCTAACACATGAGGTGGAGGTGCAGTACTACAACATCAAGAAGCAAAATGCTGAGAAGCAGCTGCTGGTGGCCAAGGAAGGGGTGAGATCTGCCCTCCTCCTGCCCTCCTCTCTCCTTTTTATCTTCCTCCCTTTTATCTGCCCTTCTTCCTCTTCTCTCCCTGTCCTTCCCACTGGGTGAAGATACATCCTGGTGGTGGGTTCTGTTTCTTTTCCTAACGTGCAGCTCCTGATAATGTCATCAAGCTTCTGGAGGAGGGAATGAGGGTGTGGGGGTACTCCTACCTGTCTTCTGGGAAAGATGAAGCAAGTGGAGGCAGGTAGAGGGAAAGCTTGGCCAGCCCAGGCTGCCATGGAGACAGAGGTCCTGCTGGGGCTAGGGTGCTATCAGCGGCCCCTTTGCTTCTTCCCTCATTCCTGCTGTCTTCTCCCCTCCCCTTTTTTTTCTTCCCTTTCCTGCCTTTTCCCTTTCCCTCTTCTTCCTTTTCCTTGTGCAGCCTAAGTTGTGCTAGGAGGGGGACCCAGCCACAGGAAGGCCTTTCTTCTTTCTTCCAGCTTCTAATCCCTGCTCTCTTTAAGCTGGGGGTTTCATCTTTGCAGGCCGAGAAGATCAAAAAGAAGAGAAACACACTCTTTGGCACCTTTCACGTGGCCCACAGCTCTTCCCTGGATGATGTAGATCACAAAATCCTAACGGCTAAGTAAGTAGTGCCAGTTATCCACTCTGGCAACGTCCGGGCCATCCTCAGAATTTGAGGGTGTACAGGCCCCCCAGCTCCAATTCCATTTCCTCACTGGTGGAGGGACAGCTCTGGTCTCCTGCCCCAGTCTTGATCTAGCTCCTACCCTGCTCTTAGGTTTATGAGTTTATCGTGTTTTTTATTCACACATATCCCCCCAACGTGTTCCTCTGAGAAGGGGCCTCATTCCTTTTGGGGTCCATACCCAGTCCATGCCTGCAATTGTCTCTCTTCTGTCTTCAGGCAAGCGCTGAGTGAGGTGACAGCAGCACTGCGGGAGCGCCTGCACCGCTGGCAGCAGATCGAGATCCTCTGTGGCTTCCAGATTGTCAATAATCCTGGCATCCACTCACTGGTGGCCGCCCTCAACATAGACCCCAGCTGGATGGGCAGCACGCGCCCCAACCCGGCCCACTTCATCATGACTGACGACGTGGATGACATGGATGAGGAGATTGTGTCTCCCTTGTCCATGCAGTGTAGGTGACCTCTTTGGTGGGATGAGGGAAGGAACCTTTGCCGCACGGGTTGAGAAGTATGTGGCCTTTGTTGTGCTTAAACAGGAGATGTGGCAGATATCTGAAGATAGTTTACCTTGTGACCTTGGTCAATAAAGCACAACTTGTATCAGGATATTTCTTTATAGTTGTCCTTTGGTGGTTTTGCCTTGTCACATGCTCTGTGTGCCCGTCTGGGTCTATTGTGTTAAATGTGTTTCCCTTCACTCTTTGTTTTTCTCTTTATTCTCCCTTTCCCTCTCATCTACCTTTATAAAAAAGAATCCCCTTTAGTGATTCACAATGTAAAAATGGCATTAATTTTGACTATTTATTGAACCAACTTAATTTCATTTTGTGTTCCTTATTCTTAATCGCTAAAGTAGATGAATGGACTGATGGTTCTCTTTGTGTTTTTATGTGAGACTCCATGAAACAGTAGTCTCGTAAAGAGATGTAGTCCCAAATCCTCCAAGCTGGAAAGGCATTCTTGCCCAGGAGGGATCTCCTGCACAAGCATGTCTGGCTTCCCATCTGAACTCTTGAACCTCCCCACCCTCTGTCTTTGGTTTTCCTTGTCCCTTCTCTCCCCTGCAAGTGATAAGAGTTGAGTAGAGCAGAGCTGAAAGAGACAATACTCTGTAGGAATTTTTTAGTGAATGAAGGGGCTTTTCCCTTTCTGGCCCACAGTTAAATTTTTCTTTGCATCAGAGGCTATTTTAGGTAAATAGACCTTATGGTAAAGCTGCTATCCTGGGCCCATACCCCACCAGTACAGGGGCAATGGCAGAAGGCTGGGGCTGGGTTAGAGGCTCATTTTCAGAGGGCTAGATTCTTTAATAAAGCTGGATTCCCACTCTAGACAATGTTTATTTATAAATTTGGTCAGTGGTACTTTGCCCCTGGCTAAGCTTCTTTGCCCCTCTGATCTGATATCTTGTTAGAACTTTAGTTAAAGGCCTAACAAGGTTAGGATCACGGACAGGCAGAGCTTGATCCTGACTTACTGATCTAAAGGCTCCTATGTTCTCCAGGCTGTGGGGGGGCCTTCATTAGCTCTGAGCCACCCACCCTCTGCCCCCAGCCCTTCCCGTATCATATTGTTGATGGGCAGGCTTCTCCGTAAATCAGATTCTCTTCTCCTTTTGGCCTGGCTGTTGACCCTAGATGCTGCCTGGCTGATGGGGCGTAGGTTCAGTGACCGCTCTCTCTGCTCAACATCCGCCGGCTCGGATGATCAGTCCCTCTGGAAATACCCTGGTTTGAGGAGCCCCTTTGGGGCTTTTGTTTTTCTGACTTTTGGGACTAAACCAGCACTCCTACCCTGTGGGCACCTTCTCCTGCCTGCCTCCTTCCCCTGCCTGCTCCTTCTGTCCCCTGAGCACTGTCCCTACTAACTACAGGGAGGGGTTCGGGGGTGAGAAGAATCAGCCTGCTCAGCCCAGGGCTGAAGAGAGAACAGCCTGGTGAGGGAAGGCTTAGGCTTCTCCCTTCAGCCCAGCTACACAGATGTCCTGGTGGCCCTTCTTCCAGCTAGGCTAGGGGGGAAAGAGGGAAGGAAGGATCACCCCTCTCTTTTCTCTTTTTCATATTTCTCCCTTTTCCTATCAGTTTCCCCCTTCTTTCTCTTCCCCTCCTTATTCCAGGTTTTCCTTTCCTGTTCAGCCTCCCTTTCATGCCCTGAATACCACCAGCTGTAGAAGCCTGCCTCCCCAACTCTCCATCACTGTGGAACTGTGCTCTCTTCCTGGGGGCCCCTCCAAAGCTACCACCACCCTTGTAATCTACTCCTTTCTCCCATCTTTAGGGAGAAAGCAGGGCAGCCCATCTGTCAGGGTAGAGGAGAAAGAACAAAGGTCTGCATTCCCTTTCAGTTGGAGCTGGGAGTTAGCCCAAGGAGGATGCACTAGCACATTCCTAAGTTACCTGGTACCCATGTACCCATTGACTGGGCATGGTGGCCATCAACTTCCAAGAGCCTAATTTGCAGCAGTGACTCAAGAGCTGATTCTTTGTTTTTTACATGCTTATTAGAGGAAATTCGGAAAGTAAAAAAGAGTAAATGTTAGTATTAAAGAAGGTTAGTTCCACCATATTTGAGCACCTTCTCTTTCAGTCTTTTGTCTATGAAATTTTTTTTTTTTTATGTAGTTAAGATAATGATAACTACTACCATTTGTTGAGTGCCATGACCTGTGTCAGGTACATTAAAGACATTATCTTGAAGTCTCAGAACAACCCTGTAGGATTCTATAAATTAGGAATTAAAATGGAGAAATAAGTTGCTCAAGGTGACAGCTAGAAGCAAAAAGTCCTAATTTCAGAGTCTAGTGTTTTGTATTGCAAAGCTCAAGGCTATTACATATATTAATAATTTTGTATTCTACCCTGAGCATTTCTTTCTTTCTTTCTTTTTTCTTCCTTCCTTCCTTCCTCCCTCCCTCCCTCCCTCCCTTCCTTTTCTTTCTTTCTTGACAGAGTCTTGCTCTGTTGCCCTGGCTAGAGTGTAGTGGTATCATCGTAGCTCACTGCAACCTCAAACTCTTGGGCTCAGGCGATCCTCTTGCCTCAGCCTCCAGAGTAACTGGGACTACAGGTGCATGCCATGATGCCCAGCTAATTTTTTTATTTTTAGTAGAGATGCAGACTCTTGCTCAGGCTAGTCTCGAACTCCTGAGCTCAAGCAATCCTCTGACCTTGGCCTCCCAGAGTGCTAGGATTATAGGCATGAGCCACCACACCCAGCCCACCCTGAACATTTCATAGGCATTTTTTTTTATGTTCTTAAAGTCTTTTTATAAGCATCATTTTTAATAGCTCTACAGTCTCCCAGAAATTGGATGTATTATCATTTTCCCATTTTCTACCTTTATGTTTACTTTATTCAATTATTAATAAAAAGTAAACAATGTTTACTTTTCATATAGTTATTAATAATGATGAACATATTTGTGTATAAGTCCTTGTCTGAGTTGTGAATTATTTCTTGAGCTTGGCTGTACAAAAAGGCTGTTTCTTAGTGCTCTCCCGGACCTTGTCCCAAGCCCCTATCCTACCCTGCCCTGCCTGTGTCCACCCACTAACTGCCTTGCCACCTCCCTTTATAGCAACATTGGCCTTAGGCCTCCTTCCATTGGAATTGCCACTAAAATTGACCCAGGCATCTCATCCTCAATTTCCCTTCCTTTCAGGACCCTTGGTGGGAGGTTTCTGGGAGGAGGTGTCCCATTCTCCAGATTGGGCATCAAGGGCCCAGAATGGTCTCCAGCAAGCATTTTCCATTGGCATCTATCTGCTTGCCTGCCAGCCAAAGTGGGATGGCCTTTCTCACATTGTCTTCATTTTCCTTGCAGCCCCCAGCCTGCAGAGCAGTGTCCGCCAGCGCCTTACGGAGCCACAGCATGGCCTGGGATCTCAGAGGTTGGTAGAGGGAGAGGCTGGCCACTTCTTGACAAGCCGGGTATCTCTGCGGCGAATGCGCAGCCTTTCATCTGGACAGTCTTTCAGTTCTGAAGGCTACGGGACCAGCCCTCCATCTGCCTCTGCTTCTTCTTCCTGCTCCTCTTCCACCACCACCATCACCACCACCACCACCACCCATGTCCACCCTGTTTGTTACCACCACAGTACTTCCTATTTCCTCCAGATGGAACCCAACACTGACCCACCCCCTTCTGACAGCACCACTGTGATGCCTGGGCATTCAGAGAGCTTGGGGTATCAGCTGTCTCTCTCTTATCTTTCTTCCTCCCCTTCCTTCCCTTTCTGTTGCTTTTATCTTGGTCTCTGCCTGCTGGCTGCTGCTTGGGGTGTGTGTGTGTGGTAAGGAATCTTCTCATCTTGTCCTTTCCCAGCTTTGGGATTCCTTTTTAAGGTCAGCCTATGTCCTCACATCTTTCCTCCCTTATATGTTTGGGGTTTGCTGACTCTAAAAATGAGTACAACCCTCTTCCCTCATGATCCTATAGCACTTTTGCCTAAACTATGCTTTTCCACATTAGTTATCTCAGTGGGGCCCCCACTTCCTTACTCCTTCAACAAACATTTATTGATGTCTACTCTGTGCCAGACTGCTGGGCATGTGGATTCACAGATGATAAGATATAATCTCAGCCATGAAGAACTGCAGTCTAGTCTGGGAGAGATACATAAATAATCATGGAACAATTTGTAAAGTGCTATGGGGGTGTTGTGGAAGGAGTGACTAACAATGTGTACCTGGGTGAAAGGCTTCACAAAAGAGATGATACTTGTGCTAACATCCTGTGTACAGAGAAGGGAAAAAGGGTATTCTAGGCAGAGGAAACATTATGTGCAGAAGCATGGAAGTTCAAGAGAATATGATATATTTGTGATTAGAACATTGAATATGTGTTGGTGGGAAGTAGAAGCAGATGAGGCTAGAATGATGAAGGGCTCTGAAAGGTGAAGGGTTTTGGCCTTTATCCTTTAGGAGACAGAGAACTGCAAAAGCGTTTTTAAAGAAAATGAATTGGTCTGCTTTGCATTTTAGAAATAATATTTTAGCGGTCTGTATGAAGGAAGGGGAAGACTACAGGAATTTGGAAGTCATGGCTGTGGACCACTAGAGGAGGTAATGAGGTCTTGGGATAAAAGGAGAAGATTAATTTGGTAACTGGCTGTGAGGGTGAAGGAAAGGCAGGAATCTAGTATGACACACAGGTTTCTAGTTTGAGTGACTGAATGGATGTAGTATCCTTCAAGGAATTAGGGAAGAGAAGAGGGGAAACAGGTATGGGAGTTTTGGACAAGAAAAGTTAATAGATGGGTCAGGTATTAAAGTACTCATTTTCAGAGTAGGAAGTTAAGGTTCTGAAAGGTTAAGTAATTTCTTCCAGGTCCCACAGCTAATTAGAAGCAGAGCACAAACTAGAACTTGGCTTTCCATTCCAGGACACTCTGTTGGATATTTTTGTCCTTCCATAAGGTCTCAGTAAGTGTACTGGAAAAGAAATGGTGAAAAGCTTTCTCCCACAGCCTGATCTGGCAGCTATGGGGACTAATACCCAAGACGATAGGCTAGGGTCAGAGGTGGTAGCTGTGACCTTGCCTGGAACAAGCTTAGGGGACCCTCAGATAGTCCTTCCCTTCTGGAAGTGCTTCTCATCTCTGAAGTGGTGGCCACAGCCCAGTCATGGCCTTGGCTGCAGCCTGCTTACACTGTTGCTTCCTTTTGGTCCTACCTCACTTTGGATACCCATTTCTCTAGCTCTGCTCCTTAAGCCTGTGGATAGTTATCCTTGAGGGCTTTTCCTTTCTCTTCCACAAAGGGACTGCCCTTACTAGGATTAATCAGCAGAGCTGCTCATCTTCACTCTCATTCTCATTTTCATGCAAAAGCTTAGGAAGGGAGATTGCCCCTTCCAATACAGATGGAAGGGACTGAATTGGGTTGGGAAAATAGGGGATGCTGTGAATCTCCTGTTCCAAGGCCTAAGCTGAGGGCTGTGGGAAGGAAGGGTGGGAGGTACCTGCACCCACCTAGCCTGTTCACTACTTAATTTTCTTTTGCACCATGCACCAGAGGATCGTCTCTAAAGGCAAACAGGCTCTCTAGTAAGGTCAGTAGCTTGGTGGGAGTCTAAGGCAGCCCAGCCTTTGGGGAGGGACCCATGGCCTGATTGGTCTCAATGATTTGGGAAGGGAAGGTGAGCCTGCCTCTGAGCTTTCCCTCCTATATCTCCCCTGGTTTGCTCTCAGGTAATTATCTTTCTTTGACAGTCTCAGCTTTTAGTTGATGAGGGAGGCATAGAAGGATGGTAATCAAGACCAGATGCATCTTGGGCCAGGAGAAGTGAGGCTAGGAGGACCCCAACCTCTTGACTTCTCTTCCTTGGTGTTAGAAAGGTAGGCTCCTAGATCCTCATCTCCTCAGCTGAGAGGGCCCCTTTTCTGTGTGGTTGTACCCCAGAACTTCCTTGGCACCTTTCGCAGTAGTTTATATGTGTGTGGAGAAGGTAGAATATGGAGAGGATCATCTTGGGGCTTAGAGAAACCAGGACACGTTTAGATAGAAGTAAGGACAGTGTCAGATATATAAAACCAATATGAGACTGAATATCTATACACACTAGAGTATGTGGCTGAAACAGTATTTATAGAATGGAAGCTAGAGCTAGACTTGTTCTCTGCTGTCCCCTGAATCCAGGAAGGTACTGGCCCACAGGGTGGCTGCTTAGTTGTTTCCTATTGAGAACTAAACCTACAGTAGCTATGAGCTTTTGCCTGTTTCAGCAGCCTGGTGCCCTTTCTAATTTCTGAACCTCAGCCTTATTTTGAGGTCCTGTAGTGCTTTCCATTCCTACTCATGGCACTTCCCCTTTGGCTTCCTGATTGACATTTAAATATTTCCCTTAGTCCTTTCCTCTTCCTTTGCTGTGGGTTCTCAGGCCTCTGAGAAAGCAGAGGGAGGGTTCAGGACTAGCAAGGGACCCCTATATCTACCTTTTTGTTTGTAGAGGAAGGAAGAATATCATCCGGAATTGGTTCTTGGTCTACATAGGGATAGCCAGCACCCTTAAAGGGTCTCAGGTTACTGGACTAGCCTCTGTGTGTGCATGTTCAGTGTGTGGTGGCATGTCTCCATAACTCAGCCTTGCAAAGAAGCCTCTTGTGACTGGCTCCCAAATGGGCCTTCCAGCTTGGCTGGCCTCATCATCTTCATTCCCGCAATACTTTCTACATTTCCAAGTGCTTTGCCAACATATTTGATCCTCCAGTCTTGTAAGTTCACTGAATTGGTATTATCTTCATTGGGCCAAAATTAAGGACCAGCAAGGTTAGATGACTTGTCCAAGATCACACAGAAGAATCCAGAGCTCTTCTGAACCAGTGCTCCTTCAAGGCCAGCATACTGTCTTTCTTTGCCTCCCTATAGTCTCCCTGTCAGCAGAGCTCTGAAAGAGACCCCACCCTTCCTGCTGTCACCACAGACTATGGTTTGAATTCTGCAATACTTGTCTGTGACCTCCTTTGAATCCTGTGAGAGGGTTAGAAGAGGCAGCATCCTGGCCTTTTGGGTGGGTGAGGGATTGTTTGCAAGGCTGTTGTAACTTCACCTCCCCAGCCTGGGTCAGGTCCACTGACTGCATGTGCCCTGTTCCCTTGGGGGCCTGGCCCAGACTGGATGTATCCCAGGGTGTGACAGGAGTAAGTCGGGGAGGAAGGCATGGAAAACAGTGACTCAGAGCAGTATGTAGGTTCTGTGTTAGCTTACGGTTGAGTCCTAAGAGATATAGCCAGCTATGGGAAAGCATAGATTTTACTGAGGAAGATGCCTGTGGAATTTAAGCCTATGGTTGCACCAATTCAGAGCCTGAGCATTTAGCAGTGGTGGGGCCCAGGCATTGGAAAGCCCTTTGCCAGACATGATGGTATGATGACATTTGTTTTTGTTTCTTGTTGTCTGCCTCTTCTCTTCCCATCACTTTTCCTCTTCTTTCTTCTTTATCCCCTTGGCCTTTCCTGTTTCTACCGGCTTTTCCTTTTGCTTTTCTTTCTCCACAATTCTACTCTCCTCTCCTGTCTTTTCTCCAATCTATCCCCAATTCCTATTCCTGCCTCCTCTTTTATCTGTACTTATGGCCTACTCAACTTCCTTCTATTCCTTATTCCTCTCTTCTTCCCACTTGCCTGTTGATCCTATTTCTCTCCTGCCATGCTGTCTATCCCTATTTTCCTATCCTGTCCCTGTCTTCTCATGTTGACCCTCTCTCCTCTTCAACTTTTCCCATATCCCTATCCTGTATATGTCCCTTTCTTCCTCTCTGCCCTATGTCTTACAGGGATTTGACTCATTCCGATTCGGAGTCCTCCCTCCACATGAGTGACCGCCAGCGGATGACCCCCAAACCTCCTCAGATGGCCCGTGCTGCAGATGAGGCTCTTAATGCCATGACTTCCAATGGCAGCCACCGGCTGATTGAGGGGGTCCACCCAGGGTCTCTGGTGGAGAAACTACCTGACAGCCCTGCCCTGGCCAAGAAGGCAGTACTGGCGCTGAACCATGGGCTGGACAAGGCCCATAGCCTGATGGAGCTGAGCCCCTCAGCCCCACCTGGTGGCTCTCCACCTCTGGATTCTTCCCGTTCTCACAGCCCCAGTTCTCCAGACCCAGACACGCCATCTCCAGTTGGGGACAGCCGAGCCCTGCAAGCCAGCCGAAACACACGCATTCCCCACCTGGCTGGCAAGAAGGCTGTGGCTGAGGAGGATAATGGTTCTATTGGCGAGGAGACAGACTCCAGCCCAGGCCGGAAGAAGTTTCCCCTCAAAATCTTTAAGAAACCTCTTAAGAAATAGGCAGGATGTGGGTGGCAGTGATGGGACAGCTTGTCCTTCTCTGGGTCTTTTGCCTCCCCTTCCCTCCCTTCCATCAAGGTATCCAGCCCCTAAAGTAGGGCATGGGAGGGGCTGGCCTAGGGGCCTGGGCACTGTACATACCTGCTTCCCTCATCCTTGGGTCCTTCATCATTATTTATTAACTGACCACCATGGCCTGCCTGCCCTGCCTCCCTCCCAACCATGGACTGCTGCTGTCACTCCCTCTCCACTTCAGTGCATGTCTTAGTTGCTGTCCCCTCAGCTCCCAGCGCCACATCTGGGGTTCAGCTTGTCTCTGCTGTCCCAGTTTTGAGGTTTGGTTTCTTGTTTCTGTCTGTCTCTTGCTTTCAGGCTCCTCCCTCCCACCACTCCCCAACTTCCCCTAGCAGTTGCAGGGAAGATAGGAGGAATAACTTCTGAAACCTCTGTCTCAGATCTATTCCACCACACCCACAATGGTTCTGTTCGCTCCAGGTGTGTGTAGGGCCTAGGGCCTACTCTTCAGAGTTTGTTCTTTGGAGATACTATGGGCCAGAGGGAACCTCATCTTAGAGCTCACTCAGGCCTCCAGGGATCTGTGGGGAAGTGAAGCCAATTTCCAGAGAACAATCCACGAGAGTTTTGAACAGACGCCAAGGCTTGGGGATAGATCAGGAGACCTCTCTCAGTTGGAGCATGAGTGGATGCCAGAGCTGTGGGTTATAAAGCAATCACCTTTTTTCTCTTCTCCCACCCACCCCTGCTCCCCTGCTACCCCTGCTCCCCCACACTGCAGGAGGGTTTGTCTCTAAGAGGTGCTGCCCCAAAGCTCCCCAAGCATCAGTACTCCTAGGGCTCAGGACAATTAGTTCCCCTGGTCAGGGGAGTCATAGCCAGGATACAGGGCTCTCATGGAGCCCTGGAGCTTTTGGCCAAGGATGTTGTCATATTTCTGAACCAAAAGACAAAACAGGCTAAAAGTAAGAAAAGAAATCTCCTGAATTTCCCAAGTGCCTACACTGCATACTCCCCTTGTCAGACCCCATTTTCATGTTGCTTTATAGCCTGGGCCAGAGGCTCAAAAAAAGACACACCCAGATTGAGGAAGGGGTGGCTAAGGAAGATGGTGTAGGTGAAGGCGGCTGTGTGACCACTTCCCCTCACTCTTCCTACCCTCTAGACAACTCTCTCCCTTACCTGTTTTTGCTATGGCTATAAAGATATTTTCCCTCTGCCCCACTGCCTGCCATGCCTTTATCCTGGGATCCCATTTTGGGCCTGGGGTGGGTGCACCTGGGGCTGGTCTTAGGAGGGTGCTAGTCTGCAGACTGCCTTGTACCCCCTGGACACTCTCACATGGGTTTTCTTTGTTATTTCATAAGACTCTTTGAAGTCCAATAAAGCATGTAGGAGATTTTAACCTCTGCTAGCTTTGACTCTCATTGTGTTCTCTGTGCTCTCTGTGGTATGACGGGGTGAGAAGAGACTATTTTTCCGCTTTCTCGCTGGGCATGTCTACACATGCCCAACGTGTCCATGGTAGAGGCGCAGTTTCCTGGGAAAGTGAAATTTCCCAGGGAAAATGAAATTTGAATGCACATACCCAATGCTCTCTGGGTAGGGTTACCAGATAAAACACAGGATGCCCAGTTAAGTTTGAATTTCAGAAAAACAATTTTTAGTATAATCTCATGCAATATCTAGGACACATTTTATTTGCTAAATCAGGGGCAACTGTATCTCTGGGCCATCTTGACCCTATCTATCCCATAGCTTCACCTATGACCTTCTATGACTTTTAAAATTATTATACTTCACAGGGAGCCTGGGCAGCTTCTGGAGGGCAGGGAGAAACCAATGAAAGGTTTTAAGGGAGAGAATGTCATAGATGAAATTTCATAAAGATCAGTTTGTGTAGCCCAAATCAGAAGCTTCTTCATAGGCATATTAGGGCTTGCATAGCCTTGCATATTAGGGCTCTCATCTATTCCTACTCTCCACATTTAGTCACCAAGTCCATCCTACCTCCACAAGATGACAACTGCCTTATTGTTGAAACTGTCTGCCACCATCCACTGGAGAACCCAAAAAACAAATGGGTCCTGGCCCTGCCCGGCTTAAAACTCTCTCAGGGCTCCAATTTCATTCAGGATAAAATCCAAACGCCATTGGCCTAGCATGGCTTTCTTCCAACTCAGTTTAACTGAGTGCAAGGCTTTTCAGTGCCGAACGAAGACCCCTAAGGATCCTAGTTGCCCCCGGCTGTGGAGGCTAGGCTAGAGCCCATATCGGACAGCAGTTTCAGGGTTATTATAATGTAAAATAAAAAAGTGTTCTGGATGGTTAGGTCTTGCTATTTCAAAAATAAGCGAACCGTCTTGACTTTGGCGGGGGCGCGCAGGCGAGAGGGGCGGGGCCTGACCTCGGGCTCTGCGTGCTACGTCAGGGCCCGAGGCCCCCGGATTCGGCTTTGCCCACATGCAACATGGCGGCAGGTGAACCGCTTTCTCGCTGGGCATGTCCACACATGCCCAACGTGTCCGTGGTAGAGGCGCAGTTTCATAGGCCTTGCCCAAACTCAACATGGCGGCTAGAAGGCGAGGCTGACTTTCTACTAATCCTGCCCAACCTACCCCCCGGCGTGGGTAGGCAGCGTCGAGTAACGTCAGAACGCTACTCTGTACGTCACGGGTGGCGGGCGCGGGAAGGGGATTTGGATTGTCGCGCCTGTGCTCTGGTGAGGAGAGTGCTGTCTGGCTCCAACTCCAGTCCCTCTACCTGAGCAGCCCCTGGAGCCTAGACCTTCGCACTCTGCCACCCTCTCGATCCCGCCGGCCCTCAGAGCTGCAGCCCCGTCTCGAATCCCTCAGTGCCTCAGCCGCTAGCCGCGATGCATGTGATCAAGCGAGGTGAGGGGCGCGGGAGCGGGCGGCGAGGTGGGTGAGGAAGGGGGTGAGGAAGGGGGTGAGGGGACGCGGGCTGCAGCCGTGGGAGTTACTACCCAGCCCGCCGGCCTCCGCGGCTTCCCGCCGTTCCTGCCCTTCCCGCCACGGCCTCCCGCCCTGTCAGCTAGCTTGGCCTTCTGCCCGCGTCTCTCGGCTTTGTCATCCCACCGCCTCTCAAAAGAATAACACCTACCCTGTATCAAGCAGTCACTGTGTGCGCCGAGCACCTTCCAGGCACTATTTTATTCCTCACTACAAGCCTCTGAGATAGGAATTATTAGCTCCATTTTACAGATGAAGAAGCTGAAGCTCAGAGAGAGGTTTGGATGACCGACCCAAAGTCACCCAGTTAGTTGACAATAAGACCAGGGTTCGAACCCGTAGCTGACAACACAGTTTTTTATTTCAAAACCGTGGCATTGGTGACTGTTCCTAGGCACAGGAGGCAGCTAGGAAAGAGGAAAGGGACTCAGTACCTTACAAGGGCACCTGTCGGTTTACTGATCTCTTTTGTGGGGTGAGGATAGAGGTGTGGGGTGAAAAAAACCAGATCCCACACAGACAATACCCTGGAGTTGGTCCTTTGTAATATGTAATACTCCTTTGCCATATGCCCCAGCAGTATTCACAGAGAAGAGTTCGGAACAGGGACTAACTGTCCTTCCCCCTTCACGGGAAAAAATAATCAAAGAAGGGTGATCAAGACATCTGACAAGATGGGGACTGGGAAGGACCAAGGACTTGTATTTTTTCAACAATTATTTCCCATTAGACTTGCTGAATATCTCCTTTGTGCCCAGCCCTTTGCTTGGCTGTGTGAGATTATAAGAGGAGACAGTCCCTGCCTTGGGAATAGGTTTAATCAGGTTGGAAGAACAAGAGCAACACGTACTTATAACAGAGAGTCATATGAGGCAGGTATGAACAAGGTTTGAGTTGATCTACTTGCCTCTGTTAAAGCAATAGAATTACTTCAAAATTATACCAGTTGATTGGATGTTTCTGTTTTGTCCACTAGGCTGTGAACAAACATTTCAAAGATGGGGACTTTCCTGCTCACACTTAGCATAGGACCTGCCATGCATAGGTTCTCAAAGAAGGAATGAGAATAATTAATGTGAAAATGTAGGATATGATGAGTGCTCCGGGTAAGCAGGTAGTTGATTTGGTTTTGTCCAGCCATCTGGACTGCCATCTCTTGGCTTAACTACAGCCAAGAGATGAAGTGGTCTAGGGGAGGCCCTTCTCGTTTTTAGTATCTTAAGAACATTGTTCTCTGAATTTCCCTAACCCTCCATTTTAGCTGATGAGACCAAACACCAAAATACATAGTGTACTTTTATTGATCCATTCCTATGAGTGAGAGATGAGCATATAGTTTTTAGATCTTTAGCAAGAGATATGGGAGAGATGTTTGAAGATAGTCTTATGATAAGTCAGTAACAAAGATGAATTGAAAACTTGTGGACCTACTGGAGTGGGTAACACCTGTGTTGAATTTTTAACCTTTGGGTCTACTTTGAAATACTGTAGTTTAAAAAGTGCTATCTACAGCTAGCTCTAAAAGGCAGAGCTTATTTTGTTTCTCCTTCTTTCAGAGAGCATAATTTGATCCAGATGGTTCATGCTCCAGATTCTGTCATTATAGCATTCAGCAAGGCTTGTTAATATACAATGTGTACTTAAATTTATTTCTTTACTTTTGTTTTTTAATGTGCATAGGTTTTTTTTTTTCTCCTTTTTTTGGTTCCCTCTTATTTTTGGCATGCCAATGAAATAGAAGAAGACTAAACTCTGTAGTTTTTATGTAATTATTCAGGAGGGAAACTGGCAGTACTTATGGAATGTGCTAATATTGTGCTAAATACTGTAAGGGATAAGGCAGCTCCATCTTCAAACAACTTGAAGTTGTTAGGGATTTAGGAATAACCCATATGAAAATTGTTAGATAATAGAAGGGAATAGTAGAAGAGTTTTTCTCATCTGTTGTCAGTGAGCTATTTTTCTGAATGGAGTATCATTCCTCAAGGAGATGACAGTTAAAATGAAAATAAAGTAGCTGAGTTGTAAACTGCTTTGGAATTTAGTATAGTGTTTTCAAAATTTTGGATTGTAACCCATAGTAAAAAATAATTTTATGGATCTATACATGTATATATATGTATATACATAAAATGATACAAAAGTTTACAAAATAATATATTCTAAAGCATCCATTTGCACTCTGGTAATCTTTATTCCAGATTCTTTCCCTATCCCTCCTTCCTCCCTCCCTGCCTCCCTTCCTTCCTTCTTTCCTTTTTCCATTCATAGCTCACTGTATTATTTTGTAACTCTGTGGATACTATGCTAGATACTGGGATTACAGTGATGAGAAGGCAGACATGGTTCCTGCTTTCAAAGATCTTACAATCAATTGAGGAAGATAGACAAAAAAGTAATATAATAAAATATGATAAATACTTTGATAGGTAAAGTACAGGCCTCAGTAACCCATTCAATTATTCAAAAAGCATTTATTTAGCACCTCTTTGTGCTAGGAACAGTTTTAGGCGTCAGACTCAGCAGTGAACAAAAACCAGCTAAATCCCTTTTCTCATGGAGTTTACATCCTGATGTGGGTGGTAGTGGTAAGTGTATGTAAAAAATAAGTAAACGTGTAAGAATCAGTTAATTTTGCATAGTGGTTAGTGAGATGATGAGAGTAAAAGAGGATAATGTGATAAAGTTAAATGAGAAAATAACCTTGGATTGAGTAGTCAGGGAAGGCCTCTCTGAGAAGCTGACGTTTGAGCTGAGCCCTAAATCATACTAAGAGCCAGCTGTGTGAAGATCTGTGGCCTGAACATTCCAGGTAGGGGGAATAGAAAGTTTGTAGTTTGTAGAAAAGGCACATCCTTGGTCTTATAGGATAAGCAATGTTTTCTGAAGAGAGAAAGATTAAAAACAGTTTATAACCACGAGGAAATCAGACAATAGAGGATTTCAGAGGAAGAAGAGGTCAATGTGAGTTACAATGGTTGGGCAAGTTTCATGGAGATGTTGAGAGTTGGAGGATGAGTAGTAGTTAGATGTATAAAAAGGTGGAAGAGGAACTTTTAGGTAGAGTAAGGTGTAAGGAATGATGCAGATGTGGGAATGGGAGGCCCTAGTATGACTTAATGGTATTTCACAGGGAACAGTGGAAGAGGAGAGGTGGGGCCAAATTAAGGAGGGCCTTGCCTGAGAGGTTAATGTGGGCATTGAGAAGCAGGGATTAGTGATGCGATAAAATCAACATCTGGATTGAAAAATTGACCAGGTAGAATGACAGGATAGGGAACAATGTGTCATTGGATCTTTAGACCTTTAGTCTACCTCCAGTTCTCAAGCGTGAGTTAAAATAAATACCAGTGTGCTTTTTGTCAGTTTCTGATTAATTTAAGAACTTTTGGCAGCTGAAAAATTATGTTTGCTGATGTTGCATTGTGGTTACCTGTC